ATATTATGTAAAAGTGCTCTGCAACGCTGTATCTCTAAGCTATGTAACACTGTTGAGTAAGGAGAAAGAGCAAAGAGCGAAAAGAAGAAAAAGCTGAACAACTACCGAGCTACAGAACTTATAGAGCGAAAATCTACTTATGAGAGGGAGAGAGAGAGAGAGAGAGAGAGAGAGACGATTTTTATTTTGATCTTGTACAAGTCACACGCAAAGAATACGTTTCAGACAGTGAGCGTTAACAAATATACATATTCAAATATTTATTTGAATGTATATTACTATATCTGTCTGTATTTGTTTTAAACTTCAAATCTTGACCCGGTATTTGTCGACTCTGAGATTGAACCATTCTTTAATTAATAGCAAGCTGAAATTGTGCAAATTACAAAGTTATGCTGAGCAGAGTAGAAAGCGTGTAGCATCGAAATGTTACGTAGGCAGCCAAACGGATGAGCGCGTTACCGATTTGCATTGATTTATCTCGCGAGCAGAAGGAACAGGGGGGGGGCGCGAAGGACACTAACAGGTCGTAATTACCGTACCCCTTTCGTTCAAGCCTCACGTAACGTTGCTAAAGTCGATTCTAAACTTATTAGTACGTTATTTTTAACTCGCCGGCGATTCGTCATCGGTGTTGAACGAACCGAGAGGCATTCCAGAGCCTCATAATAGCTTTCGCAAAACAATCTCGGAAGATGATCGAAAAAGAATACGAAAGACTCCTGTTGATCCTACGAGTAATGTAAAATCTCTTCACCGAATCGTCTTATAGGATTTCTTAGGATTTTCTCCTTCATTTTCTTCGCAAGAGGAATATAAGTAATCCAATTTTCTCATTGGGGAAGAAACGGCTATACCTAGCGCATATTTCTTTTTTTTAATTTCATGCTTGCACACAAAATCACTTAATTGTCTTAATTGAGATATAAAATGTGTTCTGTAATCGAATTAATACCAGGTGGAAGTACGTCAACGGTGAATGGGTACCAGGCGGGAAGGCGGAAGTGGCCCCGCCTAATCCGATTTACATTCATCCGGAGAGTCCGAATTTCGGAGCACATTGGATGAAGGAGGCGGTGTCATTCGCTAAGGTAAAACTAACGAATAAGTCGAACGGTAACGGGCAGATCATGCTGAACTCGTTGCACAAGTACGAGCCACGTGTTCATTTGGTCCGAGTGGGTGCCGAGGAACAGAGAACGGTACGTTTTCTTTTTTTCCCCCCCTCGTTTCTTTGCGCGTCTTTGAATTATTTGCGCCGTTTTAATACAACGGTTCTCCGTGATTTTATTTTATCATTGTTCTGTCGTCAATGCAGGTTCTCACGTATCGTTTCCCCGAAACGCAATTCATCGCGGTGACGGCGTATCAGAATGAGGAAGTTACGAGTCTCAAGATCAAATACAATCCATTCGCGAAGGCGTTTCTCGACGCCAAGGAGAGGCCCGCGGATTCGCAGACTTACTCGCAATGTGAGTTGACGCGATCAATAAAGCAAACATACAGAACGAAACTGTATGGGGAATGAATTGGAAATCGAAGCCGGTTCTGTCAAATGTTTCCTGGTAATACGAATAACATTTTGCAGATGCAGGCGCATTATTTCTACCTCAACCTACTATGGGATACGAGTACAACACTGCATCGGCGATAGCAGTCGCGCAAAACCAAGCATCGGCTTGTGTTAGCAATCACTTCTCTAATCCGTGCACCGGCGCCACATCTGGGCACAGAGGCACCTGCAGAGCAGTGCCTTATACCTTGAGGCACAAGTACGTCCAAGATGGTAGGTAAAATTCGTTTGCTGTCCGTTAATTGAAATCCTAATTAGGCCTTTGTCAAACGCCGGAAGAAATGTACGTTATATATGCTTCTTTTTCACGAGCAGAAGAATAGAATTTTGCGGAGAGAAAGTCAATTAGTTTTTCCCATACACAGAACAGCACGCAGACGCGTACGCGCCGATGCCGCTCTTGCATCCCACGGCTTACGTGACGGCTCCGGCCTGGTCGCCGCGGAGCCCGGAATCCCTGCAGACTCTCAATTCCGCGTGCCTGCCACCCGCCGCCTCGCAGGAGTGGCCGACGTCGCCGTCGCCGTCGCCAACGTCATCGCACACGGTCCTCGGCAGGGCCGTGGTCGGTACTGTCTCGACGACCACCGTGACCGGTTGTACCCTTTACGTGCCCTCGAATTTACCGTCTCAGGAGCAACACGGCGGACACTGCGCTGACGCGTCTTGGATACATTCCAACACGTTGGAGCAGCAACAGCAGCAGCAACAGCAGCAGCAGCAGCAGCAGCAGCAGCAACATCAACAGCAATCCTACTTGAACTTGAATCTCCATCTGCATCACCAAATGTCCCCGTACGGTCCCGTTTCGCACCCGGGGCTGCAGCACGCGGGCTTGCACCCACAAAGTGGAGAACCGGTTCCTCCGACGGACGCGAACGAATACGTTCACGAGTATCATCACGCCTCGCCGGTGCAATCGACCACCCCCGACCAGCATCGTCATCAGCAGCAGCATCATCCTCAAGCGCAGATGTTGCACGTGCAGACGCTGCCGCAGACAGAAACGTCTTCGCCGGTCAGCGTAGAGTACGACAGCCCGCCCAAGGAGCATCCCCACATCCAGATGGGCTATCCCGAGCAAACCGCGGACGCTTTGAACGAGGTGCAGCAGGACGACGAGAGACGATACTTGACCACGGTTGTCGACCGCTACCCTCATCATCATCATCATCATCATCCACATCATCGTAATCACCATCGACAGGACACGGAGATCGCCGACGAGCAGCCAAACGCTTGGACGCCGCTGACGCCACCCCCGGCGCCGCAGACCACCGCCATTTGACTCGAATTGGTACATTGGAAATTATGCACAAGTATTGAGCACACGCGAAAATGCACGTCCGAGCTTACTATCGTGTGTAAAATCGTCAACGTGGGGAATATTGTCTCAACGATCGATTCGATGATGCGGCGTCAGATGGATGCTAAATATATTAAACGCGACGATTAATCGAGAAAATTCTTCTCGCGCACGATAGATGTTAAAATGTATCGTTCCGTCCTAATTACTGTAGATACATTTTATTGATTCCCCTTAGGGTTACAAGGCGCTTTTGAAGGAACGTGCCCAAACCTCTTATAACACCTCTCTCTATATCCACTTCTCTATGTGGCGATCGAACGAAAAACCAACAATGTTTTGTTTGATTTTGAACCCAGGTCTTCGGATTACCAGACCAGCGCACAATCCTCTGCGTCACGATCGCCACGCCGTCCTAATTACTGTAGTATTCCGATTATTCTTAATCGATCGCGAAGATTAATAGCTGTGTCAAGTATGTCATGAAAAAATAAAGTGCAAATAAAAAGTATTCTTCTTTTTAAACGTCTTGCCTTGTACATATTATCAGTAGGATTTTAATGTTAAAGTGTAATGTACACTTTAAGCGACATTATTTCTCAGGTATAATCAAATTTTGTACGGAATGTCCTACTTTCATGTCACGTTACTTTTTAACCGTACTTTTTAATGTCTTGTTCAATTGGAATTAATTTTTTAGTAGTAAAACGATTTATCATATAATTCATTATTTATATTCGTAAGAAACGTCAAGTGAAATAATCGTCCAATTTTTAGTATCATGTATCTTTCAATTCAATTTCTCCAGTCTCGGAGTAATTCGGTTTGAAGCAAAAATTTTATTAAAATAAATTTCGTCTACAAAATTAATCGAATGAAATGTGCGTTGCTATCCGTTTGTCTCTAGTTTGCGAGAAACTCTCATTTAAATATTTTAGTTTGTAGTTTAATTTATTTTATATCATAATTTTCTATATATAATCAGAAAATTATTAATGCCTTGATATTCTCGTCAAAGTACGATTTTTAATTAATAAAAAATCTGAGATTACAAATATTAAGCGACATATCTTACGTATTATTGATCACATTGTTATTTCGTTCTTATTGGCAGTAGGTAAAAATATCGAAGGATCGTACACAGATGTATTCATTCTTACAAGATAAAAGAAATTCTTCAAAGTCCTAAATTCCCGACAGAAAATAACATGCTATAAGAAAGTTCTCTCTTAATTATCTTGATTGTATTTTACATGTAATATACATTGCACGCGTGCAATCCTAGACCTATCTTTATGGTCATTGTCATGAATTTCATAACAACAAGCGTAGGTGAAAACATAGTAGAATCGAATAAAAAGTACAAAAATGATTTGACGCATCTAGACATTACGAGAATTAAAAAATTGTGTTAATTATTCATCATAATCCCGTCTGATTTTAATGCATTTGCATGAACGTCCTGATTCATAAATCAAACTGTGACCATCGGAAGCTATTGTGATCACCTGCAAAACCATCTGAAACTAACGATTCGAAGAAAACGTCATGGTCTCCTGTTGAAAGGCGTCGCTTTCAATAAGACAATACCAGACCTTTTTCTTTACTTCTTCTTTTCTCACCGTATTCTTCCCTTATCTTCCCTCTTTCTTATGATTTCCATGCGATTTGTTTCTTGATCCGTTCTATGCAAAAATTATCTATCTCGTTCTTTTTCTCTTTCTATTTTCTCACAGCTCTCTTTCATTTTTCCTATACGTATACATATTCTCAAGTCTCATTCGTATTCATTAATAAAGTGAAACATGATTTACTTCACTAATAATTGTTCCACCGAAACCTCTCGCGTTTCCTCCTCTCAGATTTGTTTGTTACACTCAATACCGTATAACATAACACTCGCAAAAATACACTTGTTACGATTCTATTTTTAATGTTAATTGTTTCGAATTACATTTCAAATTAAATGTTACCTACTAAACGTCCACTGTATCACGGTTTACCGTCGATTGCTTGAATTATTTGATCTAATGAGTTGTTCATTACTCAGCAAACTGATTAAAAAGAATAAATAAGAAAATATTTCACTAGGTAAAACATTTAAAGCGCCAATAATTATTATCCGTAAATATCGCGAAACAAAAGTAATTTTTATGTTCTATCGTTTCAACTGAAACAAATAAAGCGCGAAATATTTCTTCCCGATGAAGAGCCGTCGTCTTAATACGCGAATAAATCGTGGAAAATCGTGGTAATTGCGAAAGTTAATTAATCACATACTATTATACTTGGTGGAGAGAATTGTCACAGTTGAAATTATCCGAGTATATCTCTCGTAATCGCGTTTCGAGTAGTAATGCGACGATATTGGAGCAGTTCGTGCCGTTATCCACTTGTTTGAGTTTCGCCGCATGAATGAGAACATGGTGCGTGGCGGCTTTGCGTATCGTAACAAATATCAAAAGGTCGAGTGCCAGTCGACCTAATTTTCATGAAATATTTCGTATTATAACAATATGTGTAACTACCATCGAACATTTATCCCTTATATTTTAAATTTCGATAACCATGTGAAGCATATTTTGCAATATGTTAATGTCACTAATACGATTCTCAAAAGCGTTTGGTGTATGTAGACAAATAGTGCAAAGTTACATCCAAAATGACCTTTAATCATATTTAAAAAATATACAGGGTGTCATTGAATATTAGGGACTATTTTGGTGTGCAGGTAGAGCGGACTAGACCGAGTCGAAAAGTCCTGTACCATTTTGCAATTTTCGCAATAGATAACGAGTAATTAATTATTCAAAATTGTCGTTTTAGCCCGGCCCACCTCCCAATTCGAACGCGACGGGGCACCTGCGCATTTCTCCCGGCAAGTACGCGGATTTTTAAACGCGCGATATCCGGACAGATGGATGGGTCGAGGACGACAGAGCATGGACGACAATTTTGAATAATTAATTACTCGTTATCTATTGCGAAAATTGCAAAATGGTACAGGACTTTTCGACTCGGTCTAGTCCGCTCTACCTGCACACCAAAAAAGTCACTAATATTCAATGACACCCTGTATAATTCATATAACATTCACGGTTATATAAAATTCACTTAATTTCTGGAGACTCTGATGCGACGGAATAATTAATATAAAGATCAATATACACATATGTGTATATATACCCCTGCTTTTTATTTCTTCCGCTCTCGCGTATCGACGAATCAGCCATGCCATTAACGAAACACGGTTGCTCGGTCGTTTGGAACTAGAACTAGCACGTCGTTATTCGAAGTGTTCGGGTCTCAGATAACGTACACGCGGACGAATCCATGTAGCGATAGCACATATCACATGCATACACGTGCATCGACGTATACAATCGCGCGCGAAATTGCAAAACGCTTTTCGTCCACTGCCTGCACGTTCGCATCTAACGATCCATAAGCGCATTACCCCCTTATGCTCAATCGTGAGCAGGGATCGTCCCCTTGTACGAAGAAATCGAATGATGCAACGGTATATCTCTTGCATTCCTCTCTCTTCCTTTCCGAGATAGAAAAAATTACATCATCGAACTGCAGAATTCCTCAGTTGTAGGAATGTGTAAAGATAATGTACGATGTTATCTAAATGTTTTCTGTATGCACTTTACTAATTTCTTTCTTACGTTGCGTGTTAGAAAATAGTATGACTTAAATTTGAAATCTCTACGTGTTATAATTGTACTAATAATACACTCGAGACAACAGGATATTTTTAAGAAGCTCTCTCTCTCTCTCTCTCTCATTTAAAAAGTTGGAAATCAAATAAAAACCGAGGCACATAAATTTATAATTGGCAGTAATTTTTGAAACTTTATTCGAAATGTCGGACAAAGAATAAGAACCGTTCAATGTCCTAAAAAAATTATAAAAATGACAAAAATTTTATCATTTTTTCAACGAACTAATTTTGGCAATTCCGTATTATCGTATACGTTTTCTGTCGATTTCATGTAATAGTATTTGACGTTAGTATGACATAATTACATAGTATACATAGTATAAGATATACAGTTAAATTGTGTACATTCGAGATATGTAATTCATTACGGATTACACGAAAACGAAATGTATTAACATCGTCCATAATTTCCAAATTAGCAGTGTAACATTGTATTGATAAGCGACATCTAACCGCGTGATGTTTATTATCAATTATCAATTTAAAATTACAAAGCTTATAAAACTTTAATGCGGACACCGAGACTGAAAAAATCAATACTAAAATTATTAATTATCCCTAAAATTAATAATATTCCTCTCAATTATTCTCATGAAAAAGAAAATTCCTATAGTATGTTTCTTGCAATATTTCGGAGAAAATGTTTGATAGTAAGTACACCGTGCGAAAATATAAATGAAAGTTCAAGTTAAGCCAATGATCGAATAATATAAATCGCGACCGAATATGTACCAACTGATCCACGATACTTGCGTTATACAATTATAATATTCGTAATTTCCATAATACATATACAGGTATAATACAATGGAAATCTTCCAAACTTATTTTTATGTTACGTGAAAATAAACCTAATTTTTCAAAAGTATTAATGCTTTCGGTACGTGTCTCTAATTGTAAGTAATTTCGATTAATCATTAGGATTTATACCCGTTTTATTAATCCTCTAAAATTCTATCTTTTAAGATCTGTAAGATCTGTAAGTTTGCGACAATGACAAATGATGAAATGTTATGAGAGAAAAGTTAATATTCGATCATTAGCTTAGCATGTAATCTTCGTGCTTTAATCAAAATTTTGTTTTATACATTTAAAAGTTGGCAACAATCTCCAACACAAATTTTTTAAAAGTTTCCCGAAATGATTCATGATTTTTTAGTACTAAAAGATTATCACGAAAGTCAATAAGAGAATATAAAATATGAAATTGAGAAAAATGATTATTAATGTTTTTTAATTTAAGTAATTTCGTGTTATATGCATATCGATTTCGTGTAATCCGTTTACACAAATTAGACATACAATTTTGTACAATTTTATACAATTTGATATCAACAATTTTCGCGACAAAATATATCATTTGGTATATAATTCATAACTATATCATTATTATTATTATGCATATTTTTGCATTATTATTGTACAATTTTGTGCAAGTAAATTTGTACAAAAAAGTAAATTGTAAAATTTATTTACATAAAAGTGTACAATAATGAATCTGTAAAGTA